TGTTACCTCTTACAGGGCAAGTTTCAGCAGAGTCATGGAGTTTAACAAAGTGYTGGATTCTGCAGCYGGATGGGACAACCCTGGATGCACAGATTTAAAATGAGAGGCRGGAAAGGAYCTGGGGGTCCTGGTTGATGGCAAGGAGTCAGCAGTGCCCTGGCAGCCAGGAGGGCCAGCCCTGCCCTGCCCCTGGTGCCCACCCCAGTCCTGGGCTCACCACTCACCCCTGTGCCCAGCTCTACCTGTGGTGTTCTCAAACGCTTCCTGCAGCTGATGAATTCTGTCCTCTTGTCATTGCCCAGCCCAGCCTGTGCAGGGAGCAGCCAAGCAGCTTTTTGGGGTCAGGGTGGAGAGGGGCAGGTGTGCCACCTTACCTGGGACATCTGGGACTGTGGGGCTGTCAGACTCATCCTGGGATTACCCTGGCACCAGGAGAACACAGCAGGGCAATGACAGGAATAAATGGCTCCAGCAGCTCTGTGACACCTCTGCAGAACAACCTTGTGTCCCAGCCATTTCCCAGAGAGAGGAAAACAAACCCAGCTTTAGAAACCCAGGTGAGATGATATTCCAAAATCCCAGCCTTGTTTCAAAACGCAGGAGACAGGGGCACTCTGAAAGAGAAACCCTGGGCAGTGCTGGGAGAAGAGTTGGCAGGGGGCTCTGCAAGGTGAAGTCATTCCCACCTTCACAGGGGGATATTCCCTTTTTATTCCAAAGCCTGTTTTCTTCTGCAAATCAGTTTTGCTACAGGGGTGTGYCAGCAGCACAGGGAACAGTCTGTGATACCAGCTGAGGTGGCAAACTGAACAAATCAAATGATTTTCTATTAGGACACAAGGATTCCTTTTTTCCAGTTTGTCCAGTCAATGGAGCAGCATTTTGTGTCTCCTGGTTTGCAAAGAATTTTCTCAGCTGCAGAACTCCAGAAACAAACACAGCTGGTCAAACAAGGGTCACAGTGAGGTCCATGGAGCCCAGTGGCCAAATAAAKGCAGGAATGGCACAAGCCCAGGGTAAGCCAAGGCTTCTCCAGAGAACTCACCCACTATTTGCACTCAGAAGTGTCTTGAGACTACAATCTCTTCTTCTTTCTCCCAGACCTTTTCTGAAATCATATTCCTGGGACCTGGTGACAAAGTCTTGTGAGGCTGAACTCTGTGTGTTCAAAGCCATCTTTGAGCTGGTCCTTGGTAGCTTCACTTGATAAAATCACAGAATGGTTTGGGTTGAAGGACCTTAAAGCCTATCCTGTCCCACCATCCCAGGCTGCTCCCAGCCCCAATGTCCAGCCTGGCCTTGGACACTGCCAGGGATCCAGGGGCAGCCACAGCTTCTCTGGGCACCCTGTGCCAGGGCCTCCCCACCCTCCCAGGGAACAATTCCCTCCCAATATCCCATCCATCCCTGCCCTCTGGCAGTGGGAAGCCATTCCCTGTGTCCTGTCACCTTCCCTATGATCCCTGCCCTGGTGAAGTCCCTGCTCCTCTGATAAATTCGGACAACCTCCCTCCAACACTGACACAGTTAGGAWTTTATGGCTCCTTTCCCAGATCAGTTCTCCCTCCTCAGCTGAGGGATCCTGATCCACCAAATCCTTCCTCACACAGGAGCTGTGCTAGACCTTTGATCATCCTTTTCCACACCCATTCCAACTCCATGACCACTTATTTCTGTGGGATTTCTCTGGGCACTCACTGGGAATAACCCTGACTTACTGTCTGCTTCATGTTTGAGTGACAYGAACTACAAAACAGACCCCAAAAGGGCTTTGGGACAGAGAGTGCAAAGTGCAGAGGCTGTTACGTATTAACACAGAGTGGGTACCTGCAACTCAGAGAAATCATGGTATTTAAAATAACTGCAGGAAAGATTTCCTGAATCAGCTCTGCAGCTTCCTGCAAAGTTTCTGCTGGACTTGGGAGGCACAAMAGGAGTGTCCTGGCCTCTTGAAAGSGAGTTCAGGGTGCTCTCATGYGCAGTGATRCCAAAAACTCACCAACATTTACTCAGGGGAGAAGAATTCCCTCCATTCATTCATTCAGTGGACAYTACCCCTGGCAGGGACATGCTGGACCCTTGGGAGAACAGGAGCCAAAAAGGTGTGAGGATTAAACAGACAAACACCAGGTCAGGTAAGAAAAATACTGCCTCTTCTTTAATGTTTAAAGACATCAGTAAACAAACAGAACCGTACAGARGCTGGACCCTCCTACCCCCCCAAACAGCATGTTCCAAACCACCACAGGTACCAGGGGAGGGCTCGGGAGGAGGAGCAGCCAAGTCTGGGATTTGAGGGATGGCCATGAGAAATGTCTGCTGTGTCAGGGCAAGAACACAGCACTTGGAGGGAGCAGCTTCCCTCACCCAGGAGCAACATCTTGCTGGGTACAGCCAAGGGAACAGYTTCCACTCAGAGCAAATCTCTTGCWGACACACAGGAGGACCTTGTGTGAACTGGGGAAAGACAGCTGGAAACTACTTTAGAGGTGCAGGACACACTAAGTACTGACCTGGGCAGCCAAACCGCTGTTCCACAGGGATTTAAGCCTCTCAAGGAATAAACACAACAAGGAGGTCGTGTGCAACTCAAAGTGTTGCAGAACTCGTTTGTGAATGCAGATCTGGGTGTGGGGGAAGGAACAATGCTCTGCACACATCCTTCCATCCACTCCATCGAGCTGCTCCCTGCTCCAGGGACATCCCAACCCCTACCCCACAATTGGCCYGGCCTTCTGCAATAATTCCTGGAGCTGTGGAGCAGCAGCTGGTTACAAGGGACATCAGAAGCAGCTCTCAGTGCAGGCTGCAGAGGACATGGGGTGGTACCTGCCTGAAGGTGGGGACAGCAGGATGGATCCAGAGCTGCTGGAGAGAGGCAGAGATCGTAGGCACAACTCCTGTAGCTCCCACCTGGCCAGCAGGAGCCTGCCTGGGAATCTGGAGCGTGGGTCAGCCTCTGAGGGCAGTCACATGGCTGCCAGCCAGCACACAGCACGGGTTCCATTCCCAGAGCGGTGACAGCCGGAACTGGGATGTGGTGGCAAGCAAGGAACACATGTCACCTCTGTGCCTCTCCAGGTGGCAGGAGCCTGCAGTGGGGCTGTCTCTGYTGCCACCACATGCAATCCAAGATGAAGGGAGGGTTCAACTGGCTCCTCCAGGGCCCAGTTCTGTGCTCCAAGCACCCATGTCCAAGGCGGGAGGCCCCGCAGTCCAGAGCCCACACAGAGCCCTCAGATCTCCACATCACTCTCTTTGTCATTGTCGTGGTCACCGTCGTAAAACTCGTTGGCAGCTTCAGGCCTGGGGGAAGAGAAATCCCTGTCAGCGAGGAAAGAGAGCCTGGAACCCCTAGGGCTGGAGGGAATGTCATATTAGGGGACCACATGTTCCTACAGAAGCTGCTTGGGTAAAACCAGAGGCTCAGAAGTGGCTTCCCTGCCACTCATGAAAATGAGATGTCTTTAAGGTCCCTTCCAACCCCAAATTCTGGGATTCTAGGACACAGATGGATTCCACTGATCCACTCCCAGGGCAGAGAGGGAAGCCCAATTCCCCAGAACAAGCTCTGGTACCTGCTGTAGTTTTCCTCAGAGCCCCTTTCCTCTGGATCGGGCTCATCTGTGCGATCATAGCTGAGCAGATCTGAGGGGACATCGTGGATCTGCACGCTGGGAGCGTGATTTAGCATCTTCAGATTCTCAAATATCGTCTGCCTGATCTGATCCAAGTACTGCAGGGAAAAAACAGAGGGATCATCACAGTGGATGTGTCAGTCTGCAGAGCCACAGCTCTGTCACCTGCCTGCATCATGTGCGTGGTGCCAGGAGAAAAAAATCTGTGCAAAAAGCCATTTATCAGAGTGTATTGGGTCTGACTGAGGTAAAGCTCAAGCCCTTCCAGTACGGTGCTTTGCATGAGTGGCTGGACAGGAGCTGATAACAGAGCAGTGTTTTGGCTACTGCCAAAGCAGGGCTGTCCCTCTGACACTCCTTCCCCCTCAAAGGGATGGGCCTGTGTAAGATCCTGGGAGGGGACATGACCAGGCCAGCTGACCCAGAACAAACAAAGGGATATTTCACACCATATGGCGTCAGCTCAGATATGTAAGTGAGGAGAGAGAGAAGGAAGGGGGGGCATTCATGAGTTTTCAATGTTTGCCTTCTGGAGCAACCACTACGTGTACTGAAGCCCTGCTTCCCGGGAAGTGCCTGAACAACGCTGCTAATGGGAAGTAGAGATTGATTTCTTTTTTTTTTTTCCCTTTAGCTTTTGCACATGCAATGCTTTGCTTATATTTTGTATTTTTGCTGTAATAAAACTACTTTATCTCACCCTGCTGGCTGTTCACCATCTTACTTCCCCCTGTCCCAGAAGGAAAGGGAGTGATAGGGAGACCTAGTGGGCAACTGGCATCGTGCCAGGGTCAACCCACAACACAGTCTTTCTTGGTGCCCCAACGTGGGGAAAGATAAAGGTAGTTTTATATATACATCTATATATACATATACTGCACGCTCTAGTAATTCTCTAATAATTGTAAGTAATAGTTCTCAAGTAGTAAACTTCTGAGCTCCTGTGTGGCATACAGCCTTCAGTGGCCACATTGCTTATCTTTATTTTGCTTAGACTGGGCAAGAAAGGGTGAGCTGTTCATAGCCCCATGGGCCCATGAAATATCAGGTCATCTTGGAAGAGATGCAACATTCAGATTTGCTCGTGATCGAGGAGTGAACCTGACCACGGAGGCTCTCAGCCAGGTTATACATGAATGTGAAACGTGTGCTGCTATCAAGGGAGCCCAGCGAGTGAAGCCTCTCTGGAATAGAGGGCGGTGGCTGSGTTTCCAGTATGGTGAGGCCTGGCAAGCTGATCACATTGGGCCTTTGCCACAAACACGCCAAGGCAAGTGTTATATCCTCACCATGGTAGAGGCAACAAGCAGCTGGTTGGAGACATACCCAGTGAACCATGCCACTGCCCGGAATACAATCTCAGGTCTTGAAAGGCATATCTTATGGCGACATGGAACCCCAGAAAGAATTGAGTCGGACAACAGGACTCATTTTCRAAATAATCTTATAAACTCCTGGGCAAAGAGACATGGCATCAAGTGGATATATCATATCCCCTATCATCCACAGGCCTCCGGGAATATCAAAAGATACAAGGGGCCGCTTAAAACTATGCTAAGGGCATTGGGTAATGGCACATGGAAACATTGGGATACAAACTTAGCAGAAGCCACTTGGCTGGTCAACACAAGGGGATCTGCTAACTGCCCTGGTCCTGCCCAAACTAAGCCATTAGACACTGTGGAAGGAGACAAGGTCCCTGCGTTACACACAGGGAAGTGGCTAGGAAAGTCAGTGTGGATTTCTTCCCCCACGGGAAAAGGCAAACCCATTCGTGGGATTGTCTTTGCCCAAGGACCTGGGTGTACTTGGTGGGCAATGCAAAGGGATGGGGCGACACGGTGTATACCTCAAGGAGATTTAACCTTGGGGTAAGAATAATCTATGATGCAAATTGTATGTTGCAGGAGATAAAGTAGCAGGAGTGATGAAGGAGGAATTTTGACAAAAAGTAAGAAGAATATTATGATTAGCCAGGACAGTGTTGGTGCCCAGCCATCAAGCGAGCAACTTCTCCTGCCCTGACCCCTCATCCTGCTGGAGTGGAGACCTCGGGAAATTAATGGTTTAAAGATGTGGTTTGAGCTGTATGTGTGGATAAGAAAGGATTCTAGTAATGAGAAATACAGGAAATTAAAGAATTGGAAGAGATACATATAGATTCTGTGGAATCTGAGTATGACGTAAATGGTATGGAATAAGGGGTGGAGATTGTATTGGGTCTGACTGAGGTAAAGCTCAGGCCCTTCCAGTGCTGTGCTTTGCATGAGTGGCTGCACAGGAGCTGATAACAGAGCAGTGTTTTGGCTATTGCTGAGCAGCGCTGTCCCTCTGACATTCCTTCCCCCTCAAAGGGATGGCAGTGTGTAAGATCCTGGGAGGGGACATGACCAGCTGACCCAAAACAACCAAAGGGATATTCCACACCATATGGCGTCAGCTCAGATATGTAAGCGAGGAGAGAGAGAAGGAAGTGGGGGCATTCATGAGTTTTCAATGTTTGCCTTCTGGAGCAACCACTACGTGTACTGAAGCCCTGCTTCCCGGGAAGTGCCAGACCAACGCTGCTAATGGGAAGCAGAGATTGATTTCTTTTTTTTTTCCTTTAGCTTTTGCACGCGCAAGTCTTTGCTGCAATAAAACTACTTCATCTCACCCTGCTGGCTTTTTGCCATCTAACTCTCCCCTGTCCCAGAGGGAAAGGGAGTGATAGGGAGACCTAGTGGGTACCTGGCATCGAGCCAGGGTCAACCCACAACACAGAGCACAGGGGGTGGGAGAGTTAATTCTATCATTGGACTGAAAGAGAAATAATTTGATCAAGCACACAGGATATACAGACAACCTAGGTTTTGGTTTTTTGCCTTGTGCTCTACCTGGTTTCCCAGGACACAGCATCCACCAGAGGGTTTCAGAAATTCAAAGCTGATATTGCAGCACAGCTGCAGGCACTCACCTGCCTGGAGTTCTGATTCTCAATCCTTGTGCTGACATCAGGGTGAAGGGTGAAGTCTGGAGCGAAATACTCGAAGTACTCTGGGATGGAAGCAGGCACAGTTAGAGCACAGGGGGCCCACAAACACCCTTCTGGCTTTTCCTCCTCCTYTTCCTTCTCCAGAAGCTGTGCAGAGAGCAGAGCTCACCCTCCCACCTGCCTGAGAGTAAGCAGAGCCCAAAAACCACAGCGATACTCAGCTCTGAGTGCAAGGGATGAGACAAAACAGGAAATGGCTCAAACTAAATCACACCTGACACGTAAGGCTGTGTCAGCCCAGCAAAGTCCACAATGGAATGGTGGGAGATCACAGAATGGTTTGGGTGGGAAGRGATCTTAAAAYTCATCTCATTCCAACCCCTACCATGGGCAGGAACACCTCCCACTATCCCAGGCTGCTCCATCCAACYTGGTCTTGGACACTCCAAGGCCAGAAAGTGCTGACAGTTTGGCCCTGGTCAATGCAGAGTAGAACATCTCAAGGATTTAGCTCAGCTAAGGAGGAAAAAAGGCAAGTGCAGCTTACCACTGTATGGGAGTTCATCACTAATGGGTTCATCTACGAGCAAGGACGTTTCGTAAGTCCTGGGAAGATGGAAAAAGAGGAGCTCAGTCCATTGAAAGGGACATGGGAAATGCAGGGACAAACCCCACAGCAGCTGCCCAACCAGCACCCCTCACCAGGCAGARAGGACTCACCAGCAGCGTGCCACGTTCCGGACTGTGTAACCTCCTCCTCCCAGCACCAGCAAGGGGATGTTGAAGCTCTTCACGTACTCCACACATTCCCTACAAACCCCAAACAGCAAAATGCCAGAGCTGGAAACTGCAGCACAGGTTCACACRTCAGAAATGCTCCCCTGAACTCCAACACCACCACAGCTGGTGTGACACACCTGGAGCTTCAGGTGTGAACCACAGAATCACTATCACAGGGCTTGGGTTGGAARGGACATTAAATCCCATCTCCCTCCACCCCCTGCCACAGACAGGGACACCTTCCACCATCCCAGAGTGCTCCAGCCTGGCCTTGGACACTGCCAGGGATCCAGGGGCAGCCACAGCTTCTCTGGGCACCCTGTGCCAGGGCCTCCCCACCCTCCCAGGGAACAATTCCTTCCCAATATCCCATCCATCCCTGCCCTCTGGCACTGGCAAGCCATTTCCTCTTAACCCAAGTCCCCCTCCAGCKCTCCTGAAGCCCCTTTAAACACTGGAAGGGAACACTCTGGGRTCTCTCTGGAGCCTTCTCTCCTCCAGCTGAACACACCCAGCTGTCCCAGCCCTGGCTCCAGCCCCAGGGCCATCCCTGTGGCYTCCTCCTCCACCACCCCCTTGCAGCACCTTGTACAAAGCCTCATTCTCAGACTCCCTCCAGTCACACAACTGTTAAAAAAAAAACCCAAAAACTGCTGGCAAGCCAAAGTCAAAGCTCAAACATCCCAGCAGAGACTCCTAGCACCCTTCAGGTGTTTTTTCTGTGCCCAGCCCTGCTGTACTTACCCATGGCCTCTTATACTGAGGTTAAAACATCCCAGCCGGTCACAACCCAGAGAATCGGCACCACACTGGGGAACAGAACAACAAGGGAATTCTGGCATTGCTTTCCAGATCCACACCAATCCTGATATCCCAGGGACAAAAGGGAAAACAGGGATAGCCCTCCCCAGCCTCTGAAAGGTGTGGATGTGTRCAGAGAGGTTTGCTTCCTTACCTGCAGGACTATGCAGGTGGGCTGATAGTAATCTACCACCTGGTTAATGACTGGCTGGAAGAGGTGCTTATAACCTTTGGAGAGAAAGGAGGATTTGTCATGGCTCTGGAGCAGCAGGAAAGCCCTGGGGCAAGGGGAAAGGGTAGGGAACACCTACTTTGGTCATCGATGCCATCTCGTAGGGGCACGTTGAGACAATAGTAACGGCCACTCTCTGCACCAACCTCATACATGTCACCTGCAGAACAGGACAGTCACAACAGCCCTGAGCCTTCAAAGCTGTGGAAAGGCCAGATCTGGGCTGGGCTGAATCTCTGCACCTGATCAGGAACCCTTTCTACAAACAACTCCAGTTCTGTTCCCCTGTAATCACTTTCTCCCACTGTTTCCCTTTGCAGGTTAAATTTTGTGATTTACACTGTTCTGCTCCAGCAGAGCTTCCAAAGGATCCTGAAAGCAGGCTCACACTAGAAAGTAAACACCTACCTGTGCCAGGGAAGAAATAGTTGCCATATTTGTGAAATGACACTGTCATGACACGGTCTGTGAGGTAGAAAGCCTCCTGCACCCCGTCCCCGTGATGGATATCGATGTCAATGTACAGCACACGGGGGTGATACCTGTGGAACAAACACATCAAACTGTTGGGATCCCAGGCATTTGTACACACTCAAACACTTGGTTTTGATGTGCTTGGGAATTAGTGTTTAAAACATTTTCTTCTGGTGTGCTCTGAAATGGGTATTAGAATAAAAGGTTTTTAGATAGGGGCAGAAATATCTTGGAATATAACTTGTTTAACCAGCTGGGTGTTAAAAAGATTTTGGTTTCCAACGTGCTCATAGTTAATCTTTAAGAGCTCCAGTGATTTTAATCACATCAGGAAATGAAATGCAAACTGGCAAGGAGGAGGTGGGAACACTCATTTCCTCCACATGMCACAGTATTGGAGCACTGTGTCCCAGCTGGTGAGCACCAAAAATTCTAGCCTGGGCTAAATCTACTGGAGAAGCAGCCAGACACAAAAAAAAAAAAATCTCAAAATGCAGTCACCTGCTGCAGAAATGGATCCTGAAACAGAGAACAAAAGAATAGGGACATTTATAATATCCCAGGAGGGGTAACTGGGCTGTATTTGAGGCCTCTGGTGGGTGGAATTATAAAATGGAAGTGCAGGGATACCCAKGGAAATCCTGAGGTGCCAAACAGAACAGGGGAGATGGGCAGAGAGGGAGGGGGAATAAGAAATCCCAGTACATCCCACAAATCTGACTTTGAGAGCAAGTAAACCTGCCAGCAGTCACGTAACTACTGTTTGGTCAACTCCAAATCCTTTCTAATTCCATGACAACTTGTCGCAGATTCAGTGACAAGGAGACCACTTCAGAGCACAAAAAAAAAACCCCTATAAAATCTCAGATTAATTCAAGAAACAAAGGTATTTCTGTAACTCTTCCATTTTGAATTTATTTTCATTTCCTAAAACGAAAAATAACCTATTTTCTACTGAGTGTAAGTGTCCTTTGATCACCCATGTGTAACCCAAGCCCTGTTCTTAAGCCACTCAAGCAGCTCCAGAAAGATTTGAGTCATTTATCTGCCTCCAGTGAACCAAAACTTGCATTTACTASAAAAAGCTGAGACTCAGGAGCCCCTGAAATGAATGTTACAGATGGATGAGAAATGGGATTGGAGAACTCTTCTCTRTCCCTCAAGCTTCATGCAGCAAAACTGGAGTCAGCTATTCCAATTCTCAAAATCTTTCTCATGTCTTAAAATGAGACCAGGACAAAAATCGAGTTTTTGGGCTTCCTGGATTCCAGAAAGGAAATGAGGCAAAGAAACAGAGAGAAAGCAGAGGGAAAGCACAAAGCAGCCAGCAGAGTTCAGCCCTTGCCCCTGTCCTTACTTGAGCAGCTCCAGGATGCCGATAACGATGTCATTGACGTAACAAAAACCCGAAGCCTGGAAGAGAGAGAAACCCCAACAGCTTTAGAGTGGGATCAACACGGAGCCTGAGCCTCAAAGACAGAGGAACACACAGATCTGCCTCATTACCTCAAACTTTTTGGCGTGATGGAGGCCCCCTGCCCAGTTAATGGCAATGTCACAGATCTAAGGGAGGAAAGAGAAGCGCGTTGAAGGTGACAATATGGTGACAATAACCCTGTACCCTCTTCCCCACTTCCACCTGCTCATTCCAGGGGCCCACAAACACCTTTCTGGCTTTTCCTCCTCCTCCAAAGCTCYAGCTGTGTTCCAAAAGATCAGCACCTCGGGCCCCTTACCTTGTTGTTCAGCTGTGTTGCTCCCTGCAGAGAGGCCCCAGTGTAACGAGAGCAAAATTCAAAGAGGCCTGGAAACACCGGGCTGAAAAAAGAATGAATAAATCAAACAAAGAACATCTCATTCCTCCACTTTTCTCCAGAGCAAAGCCAGGAATAAAACTGYCCAGGGATAATACCTGAGCAAGAATAAAACTCAGGTCTCTGTCAAAAAATTAATTTGGGATCAGGATCACTCTGCCCCTGCTTGTAACTCACTGAGCCCCAGCAGGTSCGTGAGCTGGCTGCAAACCCAGCAGGAAACTCAGAGAATTTGATAATGACTCCCAGGGCTGCCAAGGCAGTCTTCAAAAGGTTTCACTGCTCCCAAAACATGTCAAAGTCTGTCCTGCAGCTCGGCTGGGATGTGCCCAGAGCTGGGATATGATCAGACACTGCCTCAGGAGAGAGAAATGATAGCTCTCATCTGGCTGGAGGATCATGGAATACCTGAAGMGTTTGGGTTGAAAGGGAACTTAAAGCACATCCCATTCCACCCCTGCCATGGCAGGGACACTTTCTACAGTCCCAGGGTGCTCCCAGCCCTGTCCAGCCTGGCCTTGGACACTGCCAGGGATCCAGGGGCAGCCACAGCTTCTCTGGGCACCCTGTGCCAGGGCCTCCCTGCCCTCCCAGGAAAAAGTTCCTTCCCAATATCCCATCTAACTGTTCTCTGGCAGTGGGAAGCCATTCACTGTGCCCTGTCCCTCCATCCTTTGTCCAAACAGCTCTCTTGTCAGCCCCTTCAGATCCGGGAAGACCACAGTGAGGTCACCTCAAAATTCTTTCCTGAATAATCTGAACAATCCCAGCCTTTCCTCCCAGCAAAGCTGCTCCATCCCTCTGACCATCCTGGTGCCTCCTCTGGCCTGGCTCCAGCAGCTCCACGTTTGACCCCCAACACTGGATGCAGCACTCAAATCCTTAAAGAAGACATTTGGCACATTCTGGAAGAACTGGAGACTCTTCCAGAACAAAGCAGAGTCTGCAACCCAACAAACCCAAAGCCAGACCTACAAAGGAGTCCTGCAACATCTACAGAGAAAGGAAAGGAATCAAGGAGGCTCCATAACCTGATACACACAGGAGGGACACTCCTTATTCTGGCCAAAACCAAGGAAGAAATGGAGCATTCCAAAAGAGCTGTTAGGCTATGACCAACAGAGGAGCAAGTCCTGAGTGCAGGAGGGCACTCACCAGTCATCACCCACGTTGAAGGCATTGAGGCTCTTGGTGAAGCCCTGCATGTTGTTGGGGCTGACCCTCTGCAGGAAGTCGATGTAATCCTCGGAGTGGAAGCGGCACATGTCRTGCTGGGATGCCTGGTATGGCTTGAACACCTTCCAGAGACAAAAGCAGCAGTTATTTCCCATCCAAACTCCCATTTCCTTGGGCTGTCAGAAATCTCAAGCTAATTGGCAAGTGAGCTGCATGAGGTACATCAAAAATGTTCCAACACTGGCATTTGTGTTTATTTAAATTCAACAGCTGCTCCAGGAAACCTGCTTTCCTTTCACTTTTCCCTTTCATAAACTCATCTCCTGGCTCTCCTGACTGCAGCTCTTAACACAAAATTTCTCCCTCCCCCACAGCACATCCCTCTCCTTGGGCAACAAAAKAGACCACAGCTTTTCCTTCCCTGGGGGGACCATTCCCTCCTGAGTCACCAGTTTTCCACAATTTTAAGGCCTTCATCTAGGGGTGGTTCTGATCCCTCTGTCTGATTTGCCAACAGGCTCCAAATTATTTGGAGAAAGCTCCCAGACAGATGAGAGAGTTGCATAAGTTTTGTTTCCTTTGGAAAGGAAAATGGGGTAAAAATGGTAAGGGAGCTGGATGGACCCAAATTCAGTGCAACACACGGGTTTGCCAATTTGGCACTTAGAGCACAAGCCTCAGTGGAGGGGAAGTTAAAAATTAACACCACGTACCTGGGAGAGGAAATTCAATTGATAAGAGATCTTTTCTTATGATTCCAAATTTATCTTACTAAAAGCAATCATCTTATAGAAAAAGTGGAACATGGACGTAACAGGAAGATGCATGAACTAGTCTCCAAAGGGAAATTTATGAGGAAAACTGCACCATGTTCCTGTATTCTGGACTAAGCAGGAAACCTGTTCATTTTCAGAGCCACAATACACCCAAACAAGYCCATCTCCTCCTCTCCTGGTGTTCTCCACATGGATTTGTGGAGCTGGATGTTTCTCAGAGGCTGCTGCCTCTGACAACTCAAACATGGGGATGGAAACAACTCCTCAGAGCAGCTGCTGAGGGGAAATGCAGGAGCTATTCCCAGGAGGGCTCTGCCAGMGATCCCCAGGAATCCAGATGGTCTGTTAAACCAAACAAGACCAAAACTKATGGTAAAGAGAGAAGAAATGGCTCTCACTGGATACCCAGAGGCTCTCTCGTAGTAGAGATGTGGGAYACAGAAAGGGAGGGAAGACTGAAACCTTCACTCAGCTGCTGGCACAAGAAACCTGCCTGCTTCCACCCTTCCCAGCAATCCCACCCACCTTCCTGAGCTGGGAAAGGTGGGAAGAGGCAAACCCAGCCTGACAGGATCACCAGCCTGCTATTTTAAAGAGGGAGAGGTAACAATCCAACCACAACACAAAGTTAGCAGGGCTTTTTTCAGTCCCAACTTTCCCAAATCCCTGCTTTTATTTGCTCCTGACTTTGCCAGCCCCTGACTGCTTGGGATGAAGTCATCTCTGAGGTTTTATCCCTTTTTATCCCAGAGGCATCTTCTGGAAAACATAAATCCCAAAAAAAGAATTTCAAGACTAAAAATGTGGAGCTCTGCCACTGCATCCTTCAGCCACAGATTTGCCATTTAGAAGTGTTAGGTCAGAACATGGTTTTTGTTTGTTCCTGCAAGGAAAAGCCCAACTACAAGGAAGTTACTTGTGGAAGTTCACAGACTGAGAGTAAAAATCTGGAAGAGAAATTCTGCAAAGACTCCCCACATTCCCCGCAAGCGCTGCATCTTCACAGAGTCACTGCACTGGATGCAATTTTATCAGGGAATTACACTAATTAAGGGAACTTTCTCATGTTTAAACATCAAAAATTCCTTTCATAAATTGCACCTCTATGATCTGCAAACATGGCTGACTTCACCAGTTCCTTGGAATCCTCTACAACTGCACTGACAGCCCAGGGCTGAGCTCTACAAACACTTCCAGAGCTCAGAGCAACTCCCAGRGTCATCCAGCTTTGGGCTCAGGAGCAACAGAAGAAGTGGCTGGTTTGAAGGGACCCCTCCCACCATCCCAGGCTGCTCCCAGCTCCAATGTCCAGCCTGGCCTTGGGCACTGCCAGGGATCCAGGGGCAGCCACAGCTTCTCTGGGCACCCTGTGCCAGGGCCTCCCCACCSTCMCAGGGAACAATTCCTTCCCAATATCCCATCCATCCCTGCCCTCTGGCAGTGGGAAGCCATTCCCTGTGTCCTGTCCCTCCATCCCTTGTCCCCAGTCCCTCTCAAGCTCTTCTGGAGCCCCCTGAGGCCCTGAAAAGGGCTCTAAGTTTTCCCTGGATCYTTCTCTTCCCCAGGCTGAACAGCCCCATTCCCGGAGGTCACTGGTCCCTCCCAGCAGGTGCTGCAGACACAGMAATGCCACACGGGCATTGTGACAGCCCCAGGCACGGCACTGTTACACAGGTGCGATCAGGACACTGTCAACAAACAATGGACCCTTCAAAGCAGCCCTGGGTGGTCTGGGGGGCTCAGGTTGGATCCTCTCACACTCCTGAGCTCTCAAAGCCCGCTGTGGTGTTCTCCTGTCCCAAACCCCCCGCCCGGGTAGGGCTGCGGCCCCCGCACACGCGTGGCTTACGATCATCTTCTTGTAGAGGCCATAGTGCAGCACCAGGCTGTGTGTGAGCGCCAGGCGATGCGGCTTCATGGGGTGCCCCGCGCCTGGAACGGAACCGCGAGGGGATTAACGGGGCTGAGGCGGACAACAACGGCCGCTGCCGATCTCCGCGGCTCGTCACCGCGCTCCGGGACAGGTCTGACCGCGGCCGGGAGAGAGGGAGGGGGCGGGGAGAGGAGGGGATGGGGGAACGGGGATAAAGAGGGGAAGGGGAGAAAGAGGGAAAGGAGAAAAAGGTTGGAATGGGCAGAGGGAGAGCGCGGGCTGGGCCACACCCCCGCCTAGAGCCGGCGCCGGCCCGGCCCCAGCCCCATCGCGGCCGCTCCGCCGCTCAGCCCCGGTGCCGCCCTGGCCCCGCCCGGCCCCGCCGGGCCCCGCTCTCACCATAGTGGAAGTTSCCCACGTCCGGATCGTAGAAATAGGCCACGGTCTTCGACATGGCGGACAGGCCGCGCCGCGCGCCGCGCTCCCGCTTGCGTCATCGGACCGCGACAGCCGCCCGGGGCAGGGCCGGGCCTGGGGTGGGGGGAGGGCGTGGCCATGGTCAGGGGGCGTGGTCAGGGGGCGTGGTCACCGCTAAGGGGCGTGGCCATGGCCGCCTCACAGCCCCSGCSGTCCCAGTGCCCCYCRRYTCCCTSCCAGTTCCTCCGGGCTGTGCCAGTCCGCACCAGCGCCTCACAGCCGCCCCCAGGCTCACCCTGGCACCCCACAACGGCCTCTCAGCACACCAACTGCCGCCGGTTGCCCGCAGCTGCCCTCAGTCACATCGAGTTGTGCTCCTTGTCTTGTACCGTCAGCTGCCTCCTCTTACTCCCAGTTGCCGGCTGGACTTTCTCCCATTACCCCATGTCTTCTCCCCAGTCATCCTCAGCTCCCCCAGTTGTCCCTCACTGCCCCTCACCTACTCCCAGTTACCCCCAGCTKCCCCCAGTTACTGCCAACTGCTCCCAGTTACACCCAGCAGGTCCCAGTTGCCCACTGGGATTGGCAATCCCTGGGATTYTCTTCTGTAGGCCTACAGCTGCYCCCCAGTCACTCCCAGTYRCTCCAGTTACTCCCAGCTGATCCCAGCTGGCTGCTGGATCCTCTTCTCTAGGCCTACAGTTGGCCCCCAGTTGCTCACCAGTTACTCCCACCCTCCCCCAGTTGCCACAGCCCTCACACAGGGCACAAGGGATGGGGCAGCGGGCTTTCCATGGGACACCTGCACCYTGAGTGGACTCATCCCCTTCAGTGGAGCCCCCCACATTCCCTGAGGGATGGGCACCTGTACCACAACCAGCTGTCACCCGTCCAGGTCCCACCCTGGGAAGGTCTCCAGACCTTTGGAAAGAGCCCATCAGAGGCACCAYCAGGCAGGAGGAGGACAAAAGCCGRGTGGAAAATTGCCAGGTGGGAAGAGGCTGCAGAATGGGGAAACCTGGACTTTGRCTGGAGCAGACGATCGATGGAAACAGGCTCAGGTTGTGACCAGTGCTGACTGGGAATGGCAGCAAAGATCTGTTCCCTGTGAGCTGAAAAAAGGAAGGATGAACAGAGTGGGGAGCCTTATCCAATGGCTTGGAAAACAAAGCCAGAATCAATGCTCGATCCTGACAATCTCCTGCCTGATGGCTTCCCACTGACAGGAGCAGGGATGAAGGAAGCAGTGCTGGAGACAGGCTGATTGACCCACTGGGGTCTCAGAGAGGGGCAAGACCCCTAAGAGCTGGCTGACGATGGGGACCGGGGCAGACAGGCACTGGGATRTTCCCTGGCATCCCAGCAGATGGGATGGAAACCCCTTGGAAGTAGCAAGAAGGCTTCCCACCCATGAGGGATGGCGGGATGGCCAAGAATTCTGGGTGCTGTGCTGGCTGCAGGCACAAGAGACAATGAGTCGAGGTGTGATTAAATCGTGGGGTTATGAAATGACACCTCTGGCTGTCTCTGTCCCCTCCTGCAGGGATGCTGCTCCCCCCACACCACTCCTCGTGTGGGTTTCCTTTTAGGATCCCAGCTCCAGCACGGAGCAAGGATCATAGGATGGCTGGGGTTGGAAGAGACCTTAAAGATCATTTCATTCCAAGCCCTGACTTTGGGCAGGGACACCTTCAGAGGAGACCCAGGACCCAGAAGGGACAGCTGTGGCTGGGGACACTCAGAGCCATCACCTGGCACCGAGCCCAGTGCCCACCATGGGGATTTGAACGTGCTGAACAACACGGCCATGCTGGGAACACACGGAGCGCTGACGTCTYGGGGTGGGTGCTCCCTCATGACGATTGTCCTGTTCCTGCTCCTCCGGCTGCTGCCACCAGATAACGCCCGGCTGGGGACATGGAGCCACCYGGGCAGCACGTCCCCACAGAGCTGGGGGAACGGGGTGACGAAAGGAGGAGCACATCCCTGCTTCCAGCTGGGATCACTTTGCTGGCTGAGCTCRCTTGCTGGAAGCCGGTCACTGCTCTGGGCATCTTCACGAGTCTTGGAGCAGAGCAAGGGAAGCATCGGACAGGGATATTTTTAGATGCTCTTTGTGCTCAGAGAGCAAAAACAGGCTGTGGTTTAACGGCCATTAGCTGCCGGGCATGTATGAAAAGCTGAAATAGGGCTCAGGATTCAGGGACGTGTTTGACACGATGGGATGGAGCAGCTTTGCAGACTCGGCAGCAATTTTTGGGCCGAGCATCGAAGTGAAGATCCCAAGAGRAGCCTGGATCGGGGCAGTCCAGCCCGTTTAGCTGCCACGTGGACAAGCAACGGGGCTGGGGTGGCTGATCCCCCAAAAGGACGTGTTCACATTGTTTGTGGGGTGATGTTTGCTCTGATGGCTGCGGAGAAGGCGTGGGAAAAGAACAGACAAAAGGTAACGTGGAATTTTGCTGGGACTGGAGCCAGCTGAGGGACAGGGTGACAGGTGACAGTAYTGTCCCACCAGCCACTCTCTCCTTGGTCACTCTGTCCCCTCCCTCCTAAGCCTCCCCATTCCTCCTTTTGATGTGGAGGGTTAAAATTTAAGTGTTTCCAGGCAATGCCATGAGAGGGACCGAAGCCTCCAAGGATGTCCAGGAGGATTCAGACCCGCACCCACCGGGCAGCCCTAGGGGGTGGCCTGGGGAGGAAGGGCAGGGAATGGTGGTGCTGGATGCGGTGGGCAGGCAGGAAGCAGGCAGGAAGCAGGCAGCTGCCTACCCCAGAGCTCCAGGAGCATTGTCCTGTGTCCCAGCTCGCTTTGCCCTGGCTGGTGGGGTCACCCAGGATGGGGACAGGAGCTGGGATGGGATCAGGAGGGACGGAGGATGCAGAGCCCAGGCTGTGGATGTGCCATGAGCATCCAGCCTGCAGCCACATCTGCACCGCCCCGGCTTGGTGTGGGGCTTTACCCCCCATGGGCTCTGTCCCCGCTGGCCAGGATGGACATGGACAGCCTGCCTGGAAGGGAGAGCTTTGCTGTGTGGATTCACACCTCAAATGCCAGCTGCTCCCAGAGCAGAGGAGGAGCCAGGGTGTCATTTCTGGGTCACCTCTGAGGTGCTGCATGGGACAGGGATCATGGCCTGACCATTAAAGTGCTGATGGGGTCCTGCAGTGGCACAAGGACTGAGCTCCTGGAGGGACGCTGTGGCTGAAGTGGTGGAAGCAGGATGGAAACTGAGAGCAGGCAATCCCTGGTTGGGAGAATAAGGAGRGCAAACACTATCATAACCCAGCTGAAGAACCAGGAGGGAGCAGCTGGACAGTACAGAGTCCTCTCCTCATCCTCGTTCACCCCACAGGGGCCAGGATTTGTCCCCAGCACTCCCCAGTTGCTGTGCCATCCTGTGCCCTCCAGCTTGTGGAAATGCCTCCACACCAGAGGCTGTGGAAAAATGGGAATCTCCCCTCAAAGTGGGGAGTGCTGATCAGCCTGGGCATGGCTGGAGTCTGGAAAGGGGGTGGGATGCTGGGAGGRGGCAGGGTGCAGCAATGCGTTGGGTGGGCGGGAACGCCCAGGAGGAGAAAGAGCGATTTATTGTGCAGGACAGCGTGCGTGGGCACGAGGAAAACGGGAAAAAGCTCACCATGACTGCATCCCTTCCGGGCTCTGCAGAAACCCAGACCTGCCAGTTCCTCCTCTCCACAGAAACAAGGGCAAGGAGTAAACTGCCTTTGAGGTTTGCTTTGTGAGGTCTTCATCAGCAGACTTGGATGCTGCTTCTTCTTCCAGGGTTTGGAGACCTCTCCTTTCCTGTGGGCCAGCAATCCATGGCAGGAGGAATAAGTCTTCTTCTTGCCACAGATATTCCATCCTGGGACCTGTCTCCTGTCAGGACAGCGGACAGATGGGTGTCACCTGTGACGTGGTGACCTCTTGAAGTCACGCTGATGGAGGAGGTTCCTGAGAGCTGACTTGGTCACCTGTGCGGAGGGACAGGAGCCCTCAGCRTGGCACAGCTGACAGCCTGGAGGAGTTGCAGGCTGTCTCATGGCAAGACAGGCTGTGGTGGGATAATTCCCACGAAGCAATGTGTGCATGGATTGGTGTTTGGCTCAGGACATGGGGTGGGAGCAATATCAAGGATTGTGTCTSCTCCTCAGGGGCTGGGTGGAGAACTGGCAGGTGGGTGAAGGATGGAGAGGAGCAGGTCTAATTTCCAGCTGCAAAGGAGGGGTGGGTGAAGCCTCCTGCAGTGAGGATAATGTGGTGGAGGTGGAGAAGGAGGTTGTGGCACCACCACGGCTCGAGATTTCAAAGGGCTTAGCCGTGCCTTTTAGGAAGGAGGGAGACACAGGGGTCTCCCGGRGCTCTTTTCCCACCATCTCCTGGGTGCTGTGATCCCGGTGTGGGTGTCTGCACCCCTCCCCCCGCGGTGTGTGATCAGTCCTGGTCTTACTGAGCCCCGCTTCCACCCTTCTGCCTCCTGTCGCCAGGGCTCAGTGCCCTAAAAATCAGGGAAAGGAAGGTGCCAGGGGAGCCCGGTGCTGGCACGCGTGCGGGTGAGGTTATTCACCCCGGGGCGGGCAGCAGCCTGGCAGCTTCCCTGAGCAGCGCTCCTGCGTGTCCTGCTGCAGCCTCCGGCGTCTCCCCGAGCTCCTCTCCGCACCTTCCTCTGCCGAAACAGCTCCGGAGAGATTTTTTTCTGGGATCGGGACAGGCGGATGCTCTCGTGTCAGAGCGGCAGAGAGCGGCAGGCAGAAGCGGCTGGCTCCTTCCCGGGGAAGGCGGGCAGGGAGCCGGGGGCCGGAGGATGCTCGCCGCGGTCCCCAGCCGCGGGGTTGCGGGGTTGCTAGGAGGCAGGTGAAGGTGAAGGTGAAGGTGAAGAGGAGAGCGCTGCGGAGGACCGCAGGCCCAGGTAGCGCCGCAGCGGGGCCGGGGGCCGGGCGGGGGACACCCTCTCCGTGCCGGGAAGCGGAGCCGGCGAGCGGGAACGCGAGCGCTGAGCCCTTGGGAAGAGAGCCGGGAGCGCCCAGGGGAGCCGGGGCGGAGGGAGCCGGCTCGGTTCTGCGGGAGGACGATGCGGGAGCTGCCGGCGGCTCGGCCCTCCGCCAGCCCGGCTGCCGCGGCTCCCTGCCTGCCGCTGCCGCTGCCGGTACCCGTGTCAGTGCCGGTGCCGGTGCCGGTGCCGGCGGAGGCCCTCGGCCGTGAGTAGCGAAGGCTGCGGGGAGCGGCGCGGCGCGGGAGGATGCTCGGCCATCCTCCGGCAAGGGCGAGCCGGGGGCTGCCGCCCGCCGCAGAGCCCCGGGCAGGCCAGGACACCGGTGCCCTTGGGAAGCCGCCTGCAAGGGACGGGGGAGCGCCGCAGCCCGGGGCCGGCGGGCCTGTGGGGACGCTGCCGCCACCGCTGCCCTTGGGATGCCTCTTGCCGGGGGCGTGCGGGGCAGCAGCGTCCTTGGGAGACCGCGAGGAGCCACCTCCGGCCGCTGCCGTCCTCCGTGCGGCCCCGCACCGCGCCGGACTTTGCGGGGCGAGGGCTGAGCCCTGGGCAGCCCAGCCGCAGCTGGGAGCTGGGTCCTGCCCGACAGGAGGGAGGGGAGGATGGGCACAGGGTGGGGTGAGCAGCGGGGGCTCTGACCTGCCTTCCCCCTTCTCCTAGATCCGCATGTCAGACCTGAGCGACGCCGACGATGGGGACMCGGAACCCCAGCAGGGCATTTCTATGGTCTTCCTCCTTGTCCTTGTCTTCTTCGTCATGGGGCTGGTGGGTTTCCTGATCTGCCATGTCCTGAAGAAGAAGGGTTACCGGTGCCGGACTTTCCGGGATGAGCCTGACCTAGATAACAAAGACGGGCTGGAGGAGCTCCACGACAGTGAGTGCTGGGGCCACGGGGGCTCACTGGGGGCTGAGCCTTTCATCTGGTGTGGACTGGTACACCCTTGTGGGATGTGGGATGGGGCTGGGAGGGTTACCTGTCACGTGTGGCTGGGGTGGGAAAAAGGACCGGGGCAGTGGGAGCAGCACGGTGTTCCTGGGAATGGGGAGTGTGTGGCCCAGGGATCCCTCTGATCGAGGGAGAGAGCCTGAGTGGTGATGGGGAACTGGGAACCGGTTTCTGGYTGTTCCCAAAGGAGCATTATCACCAAAAGGTAATTGTGATGAATGTCCAGGACTTGCTCCCCAGCATCTCAATCATAATCCCTGTCCCCTCAAGGAAAACCTCTCCCAGCTGGAGCACAAACTGTCCCTCTGGCATTAGGATGTCTGGCATGGAGCCAGCTGGTGTTTGCTCTGTCCTGTCTTCTTCTAGTCCCCACTGTATTCAYGCAGGCCAGAGCAATAGGGCTGTTACCTTGATCCCCATGCTAGAAGCAGACCTTTAGGGATTTTTTTCCATCCCTTTTGTCTGTAAGTCGCTCTGGGATGGCTGGATTGGGAAGTCACTGCCGCATCGAGCGTGGGTGCGAGTGAGAGCCTGGCCCAAGCGAGCTCTGTCATTTGGTGTTTCCTGAGTCTCTGCTCAAGCGGGGAACACACATTCCTCCGGCTGCTTCCCAGGCTGAGAACAGCCACATGGTGCTACAGAACTCCTCCAGCTCCCATGTGCCACYGGCAGTGCCTGGGAGGATCAGCACCTCCTGAGCACGGGACAGAAACGCAGCCCTCTGGCTCACCCACGGACACAGCCAGAGCTTGCAGGTGTCCATGGATGTGCTCCTCTGGCTGTACATGACACAGACACAGTGTCTGATCCCTCCAGGATTGGGTTTGCCCTCTGCAGATACCACAGCCCTGGGAAACATCTCCATGGGTATCCAAGATCATGGTAGTGGCCCTCAAATCTGTGCAAGACCACAGCTCCAACCTGCTTACAAGAACATCTCACACCACTGACCAGGCTGGAGGTCCATCCATCCTGTCCTTCTGCCTCCAACAGTGCCTGGAGGCAGGTGGAGATGAACGTTGGGGGTGAATTCCACAGCAGAGCAGGCACCAGCCAAATTTCCCCTCTTTTAAGCTTCTAACAGTGTGCAGCTCTGGGGCTTTCTCCACCACAGGTGTTTTTTCTGTTTAACAGCTCCCAATGGGTTTATTTTCCGTGGACATGTTGTTTCCCCTTGGAGCCTTGAGCACTTGCAGCATCCTGCAGCCAGGGGCTCCAGGGCTGGACTGTCCCTACAAGGACACTCTTCTCCTACTCTGGAACCTGCTTTCTGCTCTCCAGATATTCCCCAGTTCTGAAGGAGCAGCACAACCCTCTCTCTCTGCACACACGGCTGCTGGCTCAGCCATTTCTTTTCCAGGATGAGTGATTTGGTGTTCCCTGGTGGCTTCTCAGTGTGTCAGGGGACACGRGGCTTCTCCAAAATCCCTGCTGATGCAGCTGCTCCTGAGAAGGGGTGAGTGAGTGGAGTCCCCAAATCACAGCCCTCAGTGCCACATTGTCTCTTTCCAGCTGAAGAGGCGAGGAATGAGGACACCATGGAGAAGATTGTGAGCTACATCATCCAAAATGAAGGTGAGCACTTCCACTCTGGGCTGGCCCAGAGCCGTACTGACCACTCTGGCTGACACATTCCCATTTTCCCCTCTCTCTTCAGCAAATGTGGAGGCCCTCCAGGAGATGTTGGAGGAAAATGAAGGGGAYGTGCCAGTGCCAGTAGCAGTGCCCAGGTGAGGGAAGCTTGCTGTGGCTGCTGCAGAGTGAGGGAGATGCAGTCTGTGGGTCKGGAGACTGCAGCCAGCCCCTTTGCWGCTGTTACAAAGCATCCTCCCAACAAAAGTCCTGCTCTCCTGAGGGTTTGAGGAGTGCTTCACTCCACTGCCAAGTGGAGCAGCTCTTCCTCGTTCCTGTCCTCAGTGGAGATGCCCACTAGAGCTGCTGCTCTCAGGGCTTCAGCAGGGTTGGGATGTCTGCCCCAGGTGACACAAGCTRTCATGTCCTTCTCATGTTGCAGCCTCTGTCCCCACAGCAGCAGCCAGGACGGGGCCCCACCCCATCACCACACGGTGCACCTGGGCTCCACGCAGGCGCCCTGCATCCACTGCAGCAAGAAGAAGAGGCGCCCGCTGCAGCGCCAGGGGCGCTCCAAGGAGGGCAGGAGCAGGATGCATCCCGGAGAGACCACCGTCTTCTCAGTGGGCAGGTACTGCAGTGAGCTTTGCCAGACATCTCCCTGCTGCAACGAGCCCTTTGGGGTCTCTTCAGTCCCCCTGTTCCTTCCCCCTTCCCCGCTCACCCCACTCTTGCTGTTTCCCATTGAGATGCCCCAGCAGCAGCTGCAGCTCCCGAGGGGCCAGGTGGTTCCTGCACCTGGAAATGCCTGTGGTATGTGGCAGGCTGTGATGCACCCGTGGCTTCCCTCCTTCCCCGTGAAGGTGACTCAAGCTGGGTTTTCCTGCTGAGTCAGTGCYGGGCACAGTCCCACGTCCGTGTCCTTTCAGAGCCTGCTGTCCCAGCTCSGTGCAAGCAGGGCCCTTGCTGCCCAACTGGGGGCTTTAGGGACCTCTTTGTGGGGGAGGAGGAGGGGACAGCATGTCCCAGGAGCGAGTCACCACCTGCTCACAATGAAAGAGGGGCTGTGCTGCTCCAGCTTGCTGCCTCCAGTGATGCCTGTAATTAGATGACATGGCAGCAATGTAAGAATAGGGGAGTGTTCTTGATACTTCCCACAAATGCTTCCCCAGTCCCCACCTGGTTTCACCTCAAGGGACTTCCTGAACTTTCTGTGGTCCCTGTGTAGTCACCAACCTGTAGGACAGTCTGTAGGCTCACCCAGGTTGCCCCATTCCCCAGCACAAAGGGTTAGGAAAGTCTGGCAGGGCTTGGCTCCCTCCGGCTGTGGTGACTGGGACAGGGTGACAAGCAGCTGMTGGGTCCTGGATGGCCACCCTGGTGAGACACAAAGCTCTGTCATGCTCAAATCCTGCAGGAGATCTTCATTCAGGGCCTGAGCCTTGCTGAAGCTTCCTCTTGTGGTCCAGAGAGACAGTCCTTCCATGGAAATGCTGAGCCAGARTGGGCATGGAAACATGGAATGGGTTGTGTTGGAAGGGACCTCAAAGTTCATCCAGATCCACTCCTGCCATGGCAGGGACACCTTCCCCCATCCCAGGCTGCTCCAGCCCCAATGTCCATCCTGGCCTTGGGCACTGCCAGGGATCCAGGGGCAGCCACAGCTTCTCTGGGCACCCTGTGCCAGGGCCTCCCCACCCTACAGGGGACAATTCCTTCCCAATATCCCATCCATCCCTGCCCTCTGGCACTGGGAAGCCATTCCCTGTGTCCTGTTATGTGGATTTTCCCACTATCACAGGCAGGATCCTCAGCAGRGAGATGGGCTGGGGCTTTATGGGGTGCTGGAGAAGCAGGGAGACCTGCTGGGTCTCCCCAGGCTGAATTCCAGCTCAGATCACATCTCGTGGACTCTGCCAGCTCCTGGCTCCCTCCGTGYCCGTTGCTGTCCTTGCAGGAGGTGTCCGCTCGGCCGGGGCTCTGCACAGTTGCGGAATCACGGCTAATTCATTCCCTGGCTGGTGCCCAGCTCCATCCACTGCTCCGTGTCCTTTGGCCATGTTCTGCCCAGTCTCCTCACTCACCTCGCAGTGCTGGAGGAGATGGTTTCTTTTCCCAACGGCACACTGCCTCACATCCTGTTTTTTTCTCTTTACCCTGTTTATACCCTACATCACACCARCCTTCTCCACAGGGCAGTCATCCCATTTCTCTAAGGCTTTATTTTAAATCCTGAACCTCTTTGGTACAAGGTTCAAACCCACCTCCAAATTCTGCTTCTTGTTTCCAAGCTGTTTCCAAATTCTGCTTTGTGTTTCCACCCCTTTGCTCTTCCAGACCCTGGGTGACTTTTCCAGGACTGCTCTTGCTGTGTCTTTAATTATGACAAATCTCTTTGAGATATCTGAGTTTTAAGACAAGTACTTTGACTTAAGACTGACCCTACAAGAGAAAGCTTCTTTAACCCACTCACCCTCTGGGTTAAAAACCACCCTCAGGTTTGCTTTTTTATTTATTTTTGGTACCGTTTTTGCCTTGGATGCAGTGGTTGAGAGTCCAGCCCCTCCTACATGGGCTGAGCCCTGGTCCTGATAAGCACAGGTTCGTTCCTGAGCAGCGGAAAGGATGGGAGCTGTGGAGGTCCACCAAAATCATCCAGGGCTGGAATATGTGGCTGAGGAGGCTTTTTTAGCCTGAAGAATTCTAAAGGGMGGTCCTAATTATCCTCTAACACTTCCCAAAGATGGGAGGAGTTTAAATGAAGATGGAGCAAGACTCTCCTCAGAGATGCACTGGGAAGGGCAAGAGGAAATGGCTATGAGTTAGAACAAGAGAAATCCACAAAAGRTGCAAGAAAAAATTATTTTGTCATGAGAATGGTGCAGCCCTGGGGCAGGGCCCTGAGGAGAAGAGCAATCTCCATCCTTGGAGATTTCCAAAACCTGAGTGGACAGGGCTCTGGGCAAACTGCTTGAGGGTGGAAGAGGGCCCAGTTATGAGCAGAGAGACCTCCTGAGGGTTTTTCCACCTAAATTGTTCTATACTTCTGTGGCAATCAGGGTTATGTGGTCTATACTCATATGTTATAGGATCATTTACCACTTAGCTCCGCCCTTTCCCTAAACCAGCCATAGTCAGGGGCAGAGCTTGTCCATAAAGCCTGTGTGTCTGACCCTCTGTTCTCAGCCCCATCAGCCACAGTCTGTCACATCCCACTAAATCAAAAGCCTGAGCTGAGGCTGCCAGCCAGTGCTCTGCTGCTTTCCCTCACCAGCCAGAGCTTGGTTACCTTATCTCTCGTGCCCTCTCCAGTCTGAGCCCTTCCTGCTCTCTGAGTCTGCTCCTGACTCTTCCAGGCTGGCATTGCTCAATGGCATTACCAASAAATTATCCTGCCACTTGTGTATCCTCCCTGTCCCTCTTCAGGACCAGAACATTCTTTGGTCTTCCCAAATAGCAGCACRGGTGTCTTATCTCCAAATATCTGGACAGACCCGAAAGGTCACATTTGCTGCTGCTTGGCCTGATCTGAACAGTCCTGTGGTATTGCTGGAGCTGGAACATTTTCTTCCTGATCTTCCCAATCCTGAGCAGCTTTCTGACCATGATRCTGAGGGGCTGGTGCTGTCCACAGGCTGGGCTCYAGCCTGGAAGYGTTCTCCTTCYTCTGTGCCACCTCACCTGGCATYTGCTCGTATCTTTTGCACCTCTCTSTTTCTTTCTTTGAAACAGCAGTGCTGCCCTGTGCTTGACCTTTAGGACTTGCTCTTCTTTCAACCCCAGCAGTGCTTGAACTTTGTTTCTGGAGTTTGCCTTGCCCTGACACTGACTCGAGCCAGGTCCATTGGCAGCTTTCCCATGTGTGCCCCAAGCACAGGGAGGGTGGGTGTGGGTGAGCCACGGGCTGTGTGAGGTCTCTGTGTGGGGATTGGCATGCTCTGGCTGGTGAACACCAGTTCACTGTGGAAGAGATTTCCTGTCTGCTGGTCCAGCAGCGGCTGCCAGTGCTGGTGAGGCGTGAGTCACAATCAGCACAGTCACAATTCAGACTTCCAGCCWTTGTTGATGTTACAGGCTGAGGGATTGGGGCTATTCAGCCTGGAGAAGAGGTGGCTCCAAAGAGACCTTAGAGGCCCTTCCCATGCCTCAAGGGTTCCRAGAGAGCTGAGGAAGGATTTTGGACAAGAGCCTGTAGGGACAGGACAAGGGGGAATGGCTTCCCACTGCCAGAGGGCAGGGTTAAATGGGACACTGGGAAGAAATTGGTGGTGAGGCCCTGGAAGAGGTTACACAGAGAAACTGTGACTCCCACAGCCTGGAAGTGTCCAAGGCAAGGTTTGATGGGGCTTGGACCAACCTGGACTGTGGCAGGGGTGGGATGGGGTGATCTCTAAGGATCCTTCCAACCCAAACCATTCTATCAGTCTATAATCCCTCTTCCCTCCCCTCCCCTCCCCATCCAATCTTGCATGGCCTCTATTATTAACCCGCCCTTCAGGGAAGTCAGACCCTTTTCTCCAGCTGTCCTCCTGCCCACACAGGAGCTCTGAGCTGTCACTTGCTCATGGTGCTCATGGTGGAACCTTGGTGAACCACTTAGGTACCATCCATCCTGCCAGAGGATGGTGCAAAATGTACTGTGGCAGATTTTAGCCAAACAACTCCTTCTGCCTTTGATTCCTGTACCTAAATCACTGCCAAAACCCCATCCCTGCCCTCACTTAGGGCACGCTGTCATCCAGGTTGTGTCTCGGAGCATTTCCAAAAGCTGTGATCCATCTTGCTGCTGGGACAACAAGTTCTGTCCCAGCCAAGTTCTGGATTGGACTTTTCATCCTTCTCTTTCTGTTTGTTTTGCTAAAAATGAAGGGAAAAATCAGGTTGGCGGCATGGCTTGCGTGGGGGCGGTGGTGCTGAATGGGTCTGGAAGGTCGGAGATCACGGCAAAGAGAGGAGATGTGAGGCTGCAGGTACAGGCGAGCTGGGAATACAGCTGTGGGACAGCAGGGAAGGCTCTGATGTGTCCTGCCCCCATTCCAGGTTCCGTGTCACACACATCGGGAAGAAACCCCCCGCCCAGGGCGCTGCCCTGCCCGCCAGCAGCCGGCACCCGAGCACGGAGGAGCTGGAGCGCAGCAGCGAGCGGCTGCAGCGGGAGCGGGCTCTCAACGGGACTGTCCCCACGGGAGAGCTGCAGAACGGAGCCGTCCAGACGGGAACGCAGAGCGGCAAAAGCGCGGAGCAGAGCCTCTCCGGCAGCCCAGCAGTGGACACACCCGCCAGCTCCGGCACCCGTGACAGCCGGCGGCCGGGCTCGGGCTCCAGCCCGGTGGGCTCCAGCCCGGYGGGGTCTCGCCCGGCGGGGGCCGCCCGGACCGGGTCCCTGCAGGATGCTGGCCCTCCTCCCCAGAGCCCGGGCCGCCAGCAGAGGCTCCTGAGCCTGCCGGCGCTGGCAGTGTCGAGTCCCAGCATCCCAGAACTGGCGAGGGAAGAAGCCGATATCTGCCTGGAGGAGACGGGACTGGAGTCGGCAGATGAAGTGTCGGATATCCACGGGAGCCTGAGTCTGCAGGAGCAGGCCGAAGAGCCGGGAAGAGACGAGAGCAGCAGGAAACAGTCCGGAGGGGAGGACGAGAAGCAGGAGGTATGTTCCTCCTCTTCCTGGTCCCCGTGTGGTCCCCTGGGCTGGAGGGGGATTGCTTTTTCCCACCCATTTCCCAGTGTCTGAGGCAGTGGAGTCACCGTGCTTCGGGGGCAGTGGGAGGTGCTGCAGCCCTGCTGMCAGCTCCCCTTGGCCAGGGCTGCATTTTCCTTTGTGGTTGAGCTCTTTGGGGACATCCACTGGAATTTTGACTGGGGGAGCTCCACTGCTGCACATGGTGTCCCCAAATTGTATCCTCAACGTGGGCAGCAAGGAACAGGCAGGGATAGAATTCTGCTGGAGCCTTTCTCACCTTGAAGGCCAGGAGATGGTGAAGCCAAGTGCTTGTTTCTTGGTTGTTTTTCCTGCTCCAGAGGAGCTGTGGAGGGTAGCCCACCCTGCCTGGAGCTCCCAGCACCCYGGTATCTCCCAATATCCCACCCAATCACCTTGCTGGAGAGCTCCAAGGGATTTGCTCTCTGGAACTGTCTCTGTGCTGTTACCACTGGGCAAATGGGGCTGCTGGTGGTGGTTCAGACAYGCAGCACTTCACTCACACATTCACACACTCACTCGTGGTTCTGAAGCCGGGGAAAGGTGATTTTCAGGGAAGGGGGCTGGGAAAACCACCCCTGTGTGATATCAGCAGCCCCAAAAGCTGGCCTTGACTTGCCTCATAAAACCAGCACCAGTGGCAAAGTCTTTGGATGAAAAAGTAAGCCAAATGCCTGGGTAAAATTCCTGGCATGCTTCAAAGCCAGGGAGWTCCCCTGGGGCTGGTTGAGTTCCAYGGGCTGGGCACAGCCCATGCACATGCCAGAAGCCCTTGGCAGAAGGTGGGATGGGGCAGGATTGGATCAGCACGGGAGAGCCCTGGGAAAGGTGCCTGGCTGGATGCTGGGTAGGGACAAGCAGGATCCCACTCTTTCCCTCCTTCTTCCTGGTAACCTGGGGCTGGAAGGTTTGAGCTGTTTCATGGAGAAGGGCAGCCCTTGGCAGCCAGGCAGGACAGAGACCTGGGGAGGTGCTGACAGGTCCTCCTAYAGCCCAATGAACCTTGGGTGATCCCTCTCATCCACGGGGAAGCAATTACAGGCAGGGGACATGGTGATGTCTGTCCCCTCTGCAGTGCCAGGCTCTTGCCTTGGACGCTGCACGTGGTGCTAGGGTGCTCAGGACATGGGGTTCCAGGAGAACAGTGATGGGACCTCCCCGGGATGTTTGTCACCCAGCCCTGGTGCCACTTAAACCGTCCCCCACCTCCTCAGTCGCAGTCAGAGCCAGCAGCAGGGTTGGTGGCTGCTGCTCATCACCTGCAGGTGAYGGGGAAAGGCAGAGATGGGCGTGGGCTGTATTCACTCCTGGAGACTCAGTGGGGTTCTGCCCACTGGCCCTCGGGTCACTGCTGCGGCCAGGGCAGACCCCCAGCCCAGCACCCGCTCCCACGGGGCACTGACACCCCCCTCCATCCCACAGGAGCCCAGCGCCGCCGAGCAGGASGAGCAGAACCGCGTGTGACGTGAGTGCTTGTCCCCTGTCCCTGGRACAATGGCCGGGGGGGCGGTGGGAGGGCACTGGCAGTGTCCCTGCCCCGGTGGCTCTCAGCTTGGTGCTGGAGAYGAGGAAGGGTGAACCCCTTCTCCAGGGTTGGTTCCCAGTGCCCAGCCAAGGGCAGCGATGCCGGGAAATCCCATTAGCGGGGGCGGGGAGGTGCCACGGCTATGGGGTCAAGCCCTATCTTGCTCCTCTCCCCACAGCTCCTCTCCGCTCCCGGCTGGAGCGTGGAYGGGAGGCGCGCACCCCTGGACCCCGGGGGCTCTGCCGTGGGGCAGCCGCGGGGCAAACGGCCCCGGCCCCGGGTGGGCAGCTACGCGCTTGGCATGGCCGGAGCGATGCGCCGGCGTCACCGACAACCGCGCTCGGCGCCAGCCTTCATCCCATTGGCAATAGGTACCCGAGTCCCACCCACCGCACCCGCCCCGGAGCCCCCCCGGGGACCCTCGGGCCCGGCARGGGCAGGACAGCACCCAGAGCCCACCGCCCGCCCGCCCCCCCGGCTCCGGGCCAAGGATCAGAGGGGGCCGTGGCCAGGCAGGGATGGAGGCAGCGGCTTGAGCCCCCCGGGGCGGTGGGGAGCACCCCGCCACCCACCCGGCACGTTCACCACAGAGCACAGCCCCCCGGGCACCCCTGCCACGCAGAGCGGGCACAGGCACAAATCCTGCACCGGCGGGGGAGAGGCGCTTCCAGCCCCAGCCCAGCGCAGGAGGGCCCGGAGCCCAGCCCCGGGGGCAGGATGGCCCAGCTTCGGTGTGTAACGCCCTGTACATAGACGAGCTACAACCATTAAAGCTGCTGAACCCCCGGCCAGGGCCAGCTGGATTTATTTGGAACAGCCTCCCCCGCCCTCTCCTGCCCGTGAGGAGGTGCTGTGGGGGCTGGAGGGGTCCAGGGATGAGCCCCCCAGGAACCAGGGCTGAGCTGAGGGTGCAGGGGTGATGCCAGGCAGGAAGGACAGAGGCAAGAGAGGAGTGAGGTGGGGCCTGGCTGTGGCACTAGGCACCCCAAAAAGGGGTTCTGGGTGCTGTAGTGGGATGCAGGAGCACTCTGCAAGCAGCACTGGGCAGGATGCAGCCCCTGCAGAGACCAGCTCGGGRCACGGGGCAGCACCAGCCCTTGCTGCCGGCACAGCAGCCTGTGGTGGTTTGCTCAGGCAAAGCTTTCTGGGGGTCAGGGAGGGCTGGGGGGCCGCAGGGTCAGCTGAAGTGTAGCTCGGGGTCAGGCTCGGGGGCTYTGCCGGGCGGCGGGGGCGGTGCACGGAGCTGTGGAGAGGAGAGGGAACAGGGGAGGGAGAGAAGTGGTGCCAACATGCTGAGGCCACTCATCCCACTTCAGACCCCCCAGAGCACACGGGTGGCACTGTCCCCCATTACAGGGGGCTGGGGCAGGTTTGGGGTCACAGCATGGCTGTGATGGGACTTACCGGCCGCAGGCGGGTGGCTGCCAGGTCCGGAGAGCTCTGCCCGCTGCCCGTGCCCTCCTGCCGGCCACCTGGAAGGGCCYRGCAGCTCAGCCTGGCTTTCMAGGCCCCCCAACCCTTCCCAGTYCCSTCCCAGTCCCCCCAGCACTCACCTCCCAGCGATGTCTCAGGAGCAGGGCTGGGCACCAGGCTGGCCCCGGGTGTGAGGCCAGGAGGGGAGAAGGGCGGAGGGGATGGCGACGGCAGCTCCTGGGGAGACACAACCACGAGGGAAYAGTGGGAGGGGGCTCTTCACTGCAGCAAGATGGGGGGCTGCCCAACACTGACCCTCCTGCCACCAACCTGCCCGGCCGCCTCCCGGCCCCCGGTGAGCTCCTCCACCACCAGGGAGGGGAAGACGCCGATGCGGCCATCGAAGTCACCAGTCCAGAAGCCATCATCCACCTCGCCCGGGGCACGRGGCAGCACCCGGATGATGGCCCCCTCGGGGAAACTCAGCTCCTCRGGGCTCTGCCCCTCGTAGTCGTACAGGGCTCGCACCAGCCAGGCTGTGGGGACGGCGGGGAGGGGGCTCAGCACCTCTGGGGTCCCGTTCCCCTCCCCGGGGTGGGGATGATGCCCGGCACCCACCTCCAGGCTCCAGCACCAGTTCTGCAGCCATGATGCTGGAGAGCTGGCGGTGCAGGGCAGAGGGTCCCGGGGGGCCGAGCCCAGCCCCTGACTCGCAGCCCAGGGACAGCAGGTACTTTTCAGGGACATAGCCGACCTGCCCTGCCTTGTTCCGAGCCTGAAGGGGCAGAAAACRCATGAACATCCCAAGCTCCAGAGTGAGGACAGCCTGGGGACTTCCAAAAATTGTACCCAGCACTGAGGGGGGCTCAGACTGCTCCCACCTTCACCCACTCCTCTGCGTCTCCATCCTCAATGATCTCCAGCTCCTCGCCCTGGCTGATGGACAGCTCGTCTGCCTGGCAGCCCTGCAGGAAAAAWGACAAAGTGGCAGAGCGGCTGAGGTGCCATCCCTGGGCAGGCAGGGTGAGGGCCAGGCAGGCAGGGCCATACCTGGTAGCCAAAGATCACCCGGCAGGTGWAGGGGTAGGTGCGAGCAGCAGGCCCCGGCTCCTCGTCCTCATCCRGCTCATCACTGTCCTCGTAGTCATCGAACTCGGCGGGGTCCAGCCCCGTGGGGGTCTCCTCCCCTGTCCCCACTGTGGCCCCGGCCAGCCAGGCGTCCACGTCCAGCCCTGCTGCCCGCAGCAGTGCCAGCCGTGCCTCGGCCTTCACTCGGCTCACCTGGGGACATCACACATGGTCACGGTCCAAGGGGACGAGTCCCAATCCCATTGCCTTCACCCCCAGCGTGGCGGCATCCCCAGCACCACACCCCAAGCGCAGCATTCCAGCCTCCACCCCTCCCTGTCCCTGCATCCCCCAYGCTGGGGGTGACAGAGCTCGAACCCCCCACAATCCCCTGACTGGGGACCCACCTCTGCCTTCCGGATATTTTCCCTCGCTTCTTCCATCTGCCGCTCCACGGCCGCTGCYTCTGCCTCCGGCCCCTGCTGCCGCCTGGCCTCCAGCCGCTGCAACACCTGGGCAAGCACCCACAGCTCAGAGGGTGGTGGAAAAGCCCCTCCTTGAGCCCCGCGGTGCTCCGTGGGGTGGGACAACACCCACCTCCTCGCTGTGCGCCCTGTTCTTGCAGTCCCGGGCCACCCGTGTGGCCCAGCGCCGTGCCTCCTTCTCCAGGCTGGCCCCGTCGTCTGCCGGTGGCAGCAGGCACARCTGGGCAAGGACAGGGGGTGACAAAGGGGTGGCTGTGCAGACCCCACCTTGCTGTTATGTCCCCCTCTTCCACTTACCTCCTCCACCCCCGTGAGCTGGAAGCGCTGCTCGGGCGCCAGGGAGAAGGCGGGGTGGTCCTGCAGGAAGAGGAGCAGGTCCTGCTCCCGGCACACCTGCAGCAGGGAGCGGTGTGGGGCTGGGGGCTCACCTGTGCCCTCCTGTCCCACCCAGCTCCCGGGACGGTGCTGTTACCCGTGCAGATGCCTCCACAACGCCCTGGAACCAGTCCCGGCTGGCCCGGCAGGTCTCCACCTCCGTCCGGCTGGCGGCCGACAGATGCTCCCGGAGCCGCTCGTAGAGATCCCCATCCAGGGCCTGGGGGAAAGTGGGTGGGAACCCCCCTGGCACTGCAAATCCCCTCCCTGGAGCACCCCTGACCCCCCAGGGCAGCCAGTCCTGACCCTGTGCTGGCAGGACCCTCCCTGCTGCCCCGCTGGGGGAGCATGATCCTTGTGGGACCCTGGCAATGGGGCACAGGGGGTCGGGGCAGCCCCTACCTGCATGGCTGCGGGCAGCTCCACRCGCTGGTAATGCTCCAGGTGGGCAGTGGCAGACACCAGGGCRAAGCTGTACTCGTTCTGCACCCCTGCCAGCTGCCTCGAGTGCTCAGCAAGTCTTGCTGAGAACTGTGGGATGGGGACAGCAGGGYTGGGTGATGGTAGGGACAGACCCCTGTGCCCCCTGCACCTACCCGCCTGGATGCCCCTCCAGCCCCCCACGGCACTGACCTTGGCACTGAGCTTTTGCAAACTGGCCTTGGTGTGAAATATCCGCCGGTCACTCTTCCGGAGGCTGGGGAGGATGGGAGGGGAATGTGAGACCACCCTGCAGCCACAGCCCCCCCGCCCCACATCCCCCACTCACCGTGCCTCCACGTCGGCCGCCTTGTCCTTGGCCACCTCGCTGCTGCGCTGCAGGTGGCTGAACTGCTTCTTTGCCTTGTCCAGCTCCTTCACCGTCTCCAGCAGCTCCACCTGCGCCTTCTGCAGCCTCTCGATGCCCTGCGGGGAGCGTCAGCTGGGGGGACAGCTGTCCCCACCGCCCRGGCACAGGGGACATGTCCTCGCCCCGGTACCTTCTTGAGCGTCCTCTCCTTGGAGAGGCGGGCGCTGCGGGCGGCCTCGGCAGCCAGGGCGCGGTAGCTCTCGGAGGCGGTGACACGGACCTGCCCGGCGTGTGCTGTCCCCTCGATGACACCTCTCCAGACGGCAGCTGCAGTCCTGTGGGCACAGGGTTCACACAGGGCTGGGGACTCCCTGCCGCTTGACCCCTTTCAGGGATGCCCAGCAACACTGCCAGCACCCCCAGTCCCAGCAGGTCCCTGGATTTGGGGACATCCCGGTGACACCCAAATCCTGGTTGGCATTAGGCTTCTCCCAGTCGGGAGGGCCATGGGCAGCCATAGTCAGCCCCTTGTCCCCAGCCCTGTCCCTGTCCCCAGCCCACCTGGAGTCASCAGCATCGCCACGGCCCCGCTGCCAGTCTCTCTTCACGAACTGGCTCGCCAGCCTCTGCAGTGCCTGTGGACAGACCCGGCATCACTGGCACTCCCTGACCCTGGGGAGCACCCCAGCACCCACCACCCTGCTCTGGGCCCAAAACTGGGCTCCCYCACCCCAGCTGCTCCCCCCATGAGCCCAGGGACACACACAGTTCAGTGTCAGCAGGAATCCCATCATGCTCCCTATGAGAAAACCTCTTCGGGGAGCAGCCACCACAATGAAAGGACCCCCCTGCTGTGGCTCGTGGGACAGAGCACCTGCAAGGGGACACCAGCGAGGGACACTGRCTACAGGGACAGAGTAGAGGAGCTCCCAGCAAAGCCAAGCACCACAAGACCCCAACCCTGTGGGGACGGTCCCCCCCAGCCCGAGGGGTGTGAGGGAGAGGGTGACACGGTGACCAGCTGTGGGAAGGGGGGACACAGCTCTGCTGCACAATGTCCCCGAGGGATGCTGCGGGGACATCTCACAGCAAAACCAAGCTGTGACATTTCAGAGCAGCGCCCTGCGATGACCCAGCAGACAGCAGAGACCAGCGGTTTCCTCCCCCAGGCTCCYAAAACACCCAAGGTTCGTGCCGCGCTGTGCTCAGCAGAGCCCCCAGCGGGTGCTTGGCCGTGCTCMGGGTCCTCCCGGCAGGGAGAAGCTGCATCCATCTGCCTTCACCCTCCGGGGCCACACGGAGCGGCCAGGCTCGATAATTGCCAGGGCTGCCCATCACCTGCGTGGGGCTGTGYCCAGCTCCTGCCCCGCACAGGCAGGGTGGGTCTGAGTCTGACAGCCCCTCCTTACCTGCCCGTAYTCCCTGTCAATGGTGGCCCTCTGCTTGCTGTAGGACCTGGGGGGAGAGGGGACACGGAGAGGACACACAGAGAGGGGTAGGGATGGGCCATCCCTCCCACCACCTCCTGCCACCATTCCCTTGTCATCCCCCCCTTCCATCACCCCCTGCCTCCATCCTGTCCCCATCAGGCCACCCCAGTGGGTGATGGAGCCCATGACCTCGAGGTGACAGGCTCAAGGTGAGCCGTGCCCGGTCCCTGSCCACCCGTGGGATGAGCTGTCCGGTCAGCCAGGGACGCACACACCAAYGGGATCAGCTGCCCGGCCTCAGCTCGGTGGGGATCTCACACACGCATGGGTCCTACCTGATGTCCTCCAGCAGCTCAGCGTCCCGCTGCTGCTTGCTCTGCAGGCCCGACAGCTGCTCCAGGAGATGGACCCGCAGCTCCTGGGTGAGCTTCACCTGCGGGACGGTCCCGCTCAGCCCCGGTGGCACCGCAGCCCCGGCCGGGATGGGGTGCGGGATGCGCTACCCCCTCGCCCGGGTGCCGGTCCCCACCGCTCCCCACTCCCGGGTGCCGCCCAAGCGCGGCTTCGCTTCCCCAGCCCCGTGAGGCTCCGCCGGGGCCGAGGCTCGGTCACGGCTGCAGGACACGGCAGCGAGGGAGGACCCGGACCCGGTGACCCGCCCCGTGGCCCGGCCCGGCCCGGCGCTCACCTTGCGCGGCGGCGGCTGCATCGCTGCGCTGCCCCGGGCCCGTCCCGATCCAGATCCCGATCCCGATCCCGATCCCGATCCCAATCCCGGCGCGGTCCCGGTGGCGGTCCCCGATCGCCGCCGCCACGACCCGCGTGTGCGGAGCCCGGAACTGCCGGGCCGGCCTCGCCCCGCCCCC